CTCCGTCATCAGGGCGATGAAGATTTCTGTCTTCTGGGTTGTTGCGCTGTGTAGTCTGGTCGATGTTTACCGACGTTTCAGAGGTCATACTGGCTCCGTCATCAGGGCGATGAAGATTTCTGTCTTCTGGGTTGTTGCGCTGTGTAGTATGGTAGATGTTTACCGACGTTTCAGAGGTCATACTGCTTCCGTCATAATTGGAGCAGCCGCTTAATTGGGCCAAAATGTTCTAGTCCCGATGTGTCCCAATTAACCAGAATCCACTGTATTGTTTATTCGATGTCATAGTCTTGTCAGCTCCGTTAAATAAATTAAATTTCCATTTTATTGGATTCATCTAAATAAAACAATAAATGTTAAGTCGTGTAGTAGTCAAAGAATAGAATTGGGGTAACCCGCTCTATCGATTGGGATGAAGCATTGACTCAATTCAATTGCAATATCGACCCGTGCTTTAAGTGTGTTTAATCCGTCCTAGGGCTCTCCTTCCTACAAGACAGCTATCTGAAACAGACTCACCACCCTTGACAATTTCTTTCTATGACCTATACATCTGAAATAATGTCGTTAAATAATTAAGGACGCAGTGAGCGAGATGCCAAGTTCATGTGACTGCAAATATGAAGATGTCTTGTACGACGCTTCGATGTACTTTTTCGTGGAAACTGACCGACGTTTCAGAGGTGCTTATTAATCGACCTGATGATGGTGTTGGTAAAGCCCATCACCTTCATATTCGCCGCCATGAGAACTTAAAATCTCACATTGCACGCACACTGACCGCTAATATACGATGACGTCACAGAGGCGAGGGGTGGCGGACAATGAAGGTGACGGTAGCTGGTACCGCTTTCCGCAGTGCATCGATGGAGCTGCTTCGTGCATGGTGCGCCCCAAACTGCTTCCCTAGAATAATGTTTTTGAACCCTTTCCATGTGATGACTCACAAAAGCATAAGATTCATATTTGCGGCACGGCATAACGTGTTACTGTAAATTTCTATGTAATAGGTGATATTTTACTGGAGAAACTTAAAACAAATTAGCAGCGGTTAATGTATTTTTTATTAAAATGAATGTGCAAGAGATTTTTTTATTTATTATTATTTAATGACCGCCACGGTGGTCTATTCTGGATCATCTGCCAAGCACGTATATGAACAGGTCCCAGTCCGAGAGAAGGATGGAAGGATCCTGTTCATATGGACCTGTCGTCAGCCAGAACACTAAATAATAATAAGATGAGGTGGTGTAGCGGTTAGAACGCTGGCCTTGTAATCCTGGTGTCTCGGGTTCGATTCCCGGCGGTGCCCGAATTTATAACTTTTGTTGGGCAAGGCCGTGGTCTAGGCAACCCGGAGTTTTCCTCCGGGGGCTTCCCCGGTTTCTCCATTCACACACAGAAGCAGGCAATGGCAAACCACTTCTGGATCATCTGCCAAGAACGTATATGAACAGGTCCCAGTCCGAGAAAAGGATGGAAGGATCCTGTTCATATGGACCTGTCGTCACACAGAACACTAAATAAATAAATAAATTATTTAATGGCTCTGTGAGTAACTCACGTTCAATGG